CCTGCCAAGTCAACTGTGCTGCAGGTAGGAGGGCAAATTACCAAGGTAGGCACAGGTTAGTCACTCGGGAAGATTTCTATTGACTAATCAAAGACTAGAGGGAGCCCTGAACATTACTCAGCAACAGAGGACTTTGAGTAACCAAGGGGAGGCACTGGGCAATTCTCCTAATGGAGTTTCTGTGAAATGGAATGGTTCTTACATAGCAGGAATAGAAAGTGAGGGGGGGGGGGAAAAAAAGAAATTGCTCAGAGGACGAACAGAAGAAGGGGGGGGGGGGGAAAAGCAATTGACATGCTCTAAACACACAGATGACTTTGTAAACACTAGAGAACAGCAGGACAAGGTTTAACAAAGGCTCCCTAAGACATCAAACAACTGTAGTTCAGCTTTCAGGATGTCAAATATTTGTAAAACAACATCCCTTTGGAGCAAAGTCAAAACCCTGACAGATCAACACTAGATCCCATTCAGACTTATTTAGTTGGGATTCCAGGGGTCCACTGGCTTTGCTGGTCCAAATCACCTGAACCCCACAGTGTATTCTCAGTTACTAATAAGACAATTCAGTAATTGTGTTACTAGATGAGTGGTTCCCCTTCTGCATTCTCCCAGCTCCAGAAGTAAACCCCAGGCACAGCTCCATGTGTGCCTGTGCACAGCCCTCTCAACGTCTGATCTTGGCACGTACAAGTTCTCATGAGAAAGAGTTTTCCTTTTGCAGTTGTTCTGAACACCATGCCCCAGGGAAGTACAGTTACCTCCTCAGAATTATGGGCCTGGGGTAGAGAGTTACACTGGTTAAAGACACTTCATCAAATATTTTGTGCCAGAAAGCAGAAGAGCCCTCCTGCATTAGTACCAACATCCCTGTTAAAGCTGCTGAACTTGTGTTTTGAGAGGGACACCAGTGGTTTGAGTCCCAGCTCATGTCTCCAGGTGCTGGAAGCTGCCAGCTTCAGCAATCAACCTGAACACTTCACCACTCTTCCCCATTTCCAGCCCTCCAGGCAGTGCAACAGCCTGAAGCTCACCTCCAGGTCCCAGTGCTGCTCAGAGTCCTGCAGCCCCAGCTCCTGATGGCTGCCTGCAGAACGCAATGGGGAAACCCAGTTTTGCTTAAAATTCTGTTTTTTAAAACCAGTTATGTTTTGAGCTGGAACAGTTATCAGGGCCATGCATTGTTGACAGCCAGCTCTAGAAACAGGCCAAGGGTGCAGACCCATTTTGTTTTCTAAATCCACTGCAAAATGTCTCCTTCCTTAGCCCAAGAGGATGCATATGAGATCTCATGTAAAAACACAAATCTGTGAGTATTTGAAGGAAATAAGAAGGAAAAAAAAAAATCCTTAAATTGCTACTTAAAAGCTTCAGAGAACTCCACAGGACCAATGCCTTCAGTAAGCAATACCCTTTGCCTTTTCATCAGAAATGAGAATCCATCCTGTGCCCAGATGGCACAGGCTCCTTCCCTCCTGAGCTCTCTGCACATTTACTGAGCTGTGCTGAGCGTGGACTCCTCTTATCTCACCCTGTTATGGGCAAAACAATGTCACAGAGGTTGCCTGGTGCTGCTGTTCTTCAAATAACTGACTCCAAAGGGAAGGTTGTCTCTCAGCTGTGGCTGAGATGCTGAGTTATTGCAGGGAGTAAATGGTCGTGTACATTTGCAAAGAATGATCCATTCTCTTTTGAACATGAGTGGAAAAGAAGATTGACTCGTGGTGCAAGGGCAGCATTGTGCAGTGTGCTGCTGCAGAGGCCAGCAGGGCACCCCGCAGCCTGGGAGGGTTTGTCTTCCACCCAGTGCCAGGGAGGAGCAGAGCTGCTCCTCAGCTCTCACACCTCCCTGCTGCTGCTCAGAACCTTCCCTGTGCTTGCTCTGCTGCCAGGGACCCACCCCCACCACCTCATCTCTCCTCTTCTGCAGAGAGAAGCTAAGCCTGGAGTGCTGATGGCACAAGGCTACCTCAGAGAGGAACATTCATCTGGAACTAGGGGACACTGCCCTCCCACCCCAAACAACTCAGTTTAATTTCAGGTCTCCAGAATACACTGTGCAAAAATTAGCCTCCCATGCTCCTGTGAGCTAAATTCATACTGATAGACATTAAATAGCCACACGTAGCAGAAACATTGTCACCCTGACCAAGTACTCCCCTAGGATTAGTCAGCAGTGAAGTCTGCAGTAAGCTGAAGAAGAGCTTGGCTTGCTTTCCTATACATGCACAAGGAAAAATGTTTGCAGCATGAATATTTAATTCTCCCTTATTTTAACTGCTGTTTTGCCATACCTCTATATCCCCTCTTGCCAGCCCCTCTTACTAGTTACAACTCTATTAAGAACTGCAGCCATTATGCATTGGAGAAGGAGGAATATACTGAAAACCATTCTACTGCCACTGGACTGTTGTCCAGAGCTGGAACTTCTGTCTTCTGTAGAGTGCTACACTCCTCTTCTCCAGAAGCACTTACTGAGAGGCTTGTTAGCCACAAGGAAGCCCAGCTTCCTGGGGCTGTCACACCCCCCCAGTGCTGGGAACAGCCTGCTAGAACCTGCTGGCCACGGTCTGTCCTTGCCATGCACACTTACTGACTGCACAGGACCAGGAGTCTGAGCCCACTAAACCTACAGAGCAGCGTCCTGCTGAGAGCCACATCTGTCAGCTCCAGCTCCATGGCAGCACCATCTTCCACTGGAACACATCCAGGCTGTCTGGGATGCACCCTACAGCTCTCTCTCACCATTCTCTTGGTTCTCAGGGAGCTGGGACAGAAGGGGCTCACCTGTCACACTGAGCTCACAGAGGAAAGGTGGGAGAGTCCAAGGAGGTCTCTGGCCAATGCAGAAGTGGTGCCACCTGCACCCTCAAGTACCAGCACAGGCAACAAGTCTGTGGCTTAAGGCAAAAGAAAAAAAGCTGAGCTCCCAGCCAGACCTTCAGCTGTCAGGGAAGGGCGACAACACTGGCTCTGTGTGACACACAGGGAAAACACCAACTCAAAGCCTCACTTATGCCTGTAAAAGCCTTCCCAAACAACACTGCTCTTGTAACCAAGGGGAAACAGCCCACATTTTTACTCCTGAAAGGGCTGTGCATGCTCCCAGCCTATCAAAAGACAGATGTAAAGCGTTTCCAATGACATTCACGATCAAGGTTTTCTCAGAAATAAAAATATTCTAAACAGGAAGCAAATATTTAGCAAGCACTCAAGGAAATTCAGCTGCTTCTGCACAAAACTGAGGCAGCCTGGAGATGCTGATATCCTGGAAGACCACCCCAGCTCCACTGACTCAAGGGGTACACCTAAGAGATGTCTTTCACAGGCAAGTCAGCACATCCTGCACATTCAAGACCTCTCAGCTTGCTGTGGGGATTTTCTGCACAGATCATGCAGACAGGACAAATACAACTCTGTCCTGCATTAGAGATACACAGACTGAAAACCTGAGTTAATCCATCTGTTTTCAAAGCTAAGGATAAGGCCGTAGCTCTGGTCCTTGAAAACATGCTCCCAGCCTCAAATTTGATGTCAAAGGAAAAAAGAACCCACAACAAGCAACTCAATGTCTTTGCAGAAGCCTGCAGGAAGCCAAAGCCAGATCTCCTGCGTGCCCTCACCCCATGGATGTTGGATCCACTGGGCTCAACACGACCAGACACAGGCAGGCAGAAGGATTAGTGAAAGGAGGTTCAGCACCTGCCTGCAAAGATATGCAGCTGATTTGTGTAGGACGAGCAGCCTGGCACCACAAAACCTGCAGGCAACTGCTGCTCTCATTACCTGCACCCAAGAGCAGGGCTGAAAGGCAATTCCTCTGCAGTGGTTTCTGTACTATAGAGAACTCCAGAGCTCCCACAGCTCTCTGCGACTGCTGCTTGTATGGTTGTGCTGTACCAAAATGCAACAGGCAATGAGGAAAAGAAGTGTCTTGGAGTGTCACTGTATGGAGTGAGCACACCAATGTGAAATTTAATAGTAGACCAGACTGCCATGACTGAAAGTCAGAAAAGCCAACACCTCCAGTGGCAGGTGGGAGGGGGAGGGAAGAAAATCCACATTTCTCAACCTTTTCAAGTGTCAACCAGAAGCAAGCAAGCTGGTTCATACAGTTATGAAAAACAGATTATTTTTGATCCTGAATTGCTTGACTTTCCATGGAGAGATGCCACCTTTACAAGCACTTCATTTTGAAGCTTGGGTCCTCTACTGTCAAGCCACTGGTGATCCACAGCTTGGACTGAGGACAGGGCTGAGAGCTGAAACAAGCAGTTGTCCTCTGGGACTCGCTGACAAGAAGAGACTTGTCACACACACTCACTAGATTGCTCAGAGAAACCAAGATGAACACATTCCCATATTCCAAATCCCACTGATCTGCAAATAAGCTCCTAAGCACTTACATAATCTTGTGTTAAAGAGTGTTGGCTGCTGCAGTCAGCAATGTGCACACAGGAAAGACTTTCAAGTGCTACTGCAACATAAATGGAAACAGCTACCAACTGCACTAGAAAATTTTGCCAATTCAGGAAAGGTTTCATCTGAACTTGTGCTTCACATGAAGCATGCCCTTGCAATAGGCCCTGGGAGCCAAAGAAACACTGACTTTCATGGGAAAGAAAGACTAACAATATAAAACCTACAAAGTTGGAGACCAATTTGAAAATAGCTTAGGTCAGAACAGGTAATGGCCCAGTGATTGTTTCTGGCTTTGAATACCAAACTTTTAAAGGCGCCAACACTGCTGGCATCAGAAACAATATGCCAATCCCAGGGTCTGGCATGAACACGACAGGCTCCTGTGCTCAGCACCACTCCCAGCACCACCTGGATATTCAATAGTAGAAACCACCACACACCATGACTGCCCTGAGCTCAGCAGAGCTTGTCAACACCCAGCACCACTGAGTAGGGCCCAGGGCTTCAGGTGTGCCTGCAAACAGAACCAGAGGAACAAACAAAGAATGTGCCCCCTCCACAAACTCAGTTCTGGTTACCTGGCGTGTCGGACAACGGGAGAGGAATGAAAGGATCAGGCACAGTCAGGAGAGTAGGGCTAGTATCCAAACTCAGAATGTCTTTCGTTTTTTCAGCTGGTAACCAAAGAGAAAAAGGCACAGTGAAGCAGAGAAGAGAAGCAGAAAGCATCAAGCAACATCTCAGCACATCAATATTAGAGTCCAGGCTACGGCCTGACACGAACACCACACACCCCCAGAACAACCTCATGTTGCTAGTGAAAAGAAAAAAAGCAGAGACAAACCCACAAAACTATTACCATGTAGCTCTCCAAGACAACTTAACCCACAGGTCTCAAAACACTCCTTGAAATGGAAGTACTATTATCTCCCTTGACAGCAGCACAGGAGGTGAAGTGCCTTAGCAAAGGCCATGCAGCCCACCAGCCCCTGTGCTGGGCCTCTGAAGCAACACCAGCTAGGCCTAGACAGGCTCCTTGGGAAGGAAAGGGCTGGAAGTGCCCAGTGCCAGCACCAACAGAACTTCCAAGACACTGCAGGATGGGAGAGTCAAGCAGCACATTTTAAAGACAACTACTACAAGAACTAAATATACTACAGTGTCCAGAAAGCCCAGAACAAGCAGATGCTCCTCAGGCTTTCCAGAAGGTCCATTACAGCTGAATCTGGAGCTGCTGCTATGCAACATCACTCCACAAAGACTGATGGAACATCATAAACTATTCACAGGGCATTGAACAGCTGAACAAATTCCCCAGAGCACTCTTCAGAGCACTCTTATGTCTTGGATTTCAACTCCTTAATTCGCAGGTAAGAGCCCACAATACGAAGCTCAGTTATAAGCTCCTCTAAATCTCCTATTTATAAATAGAAATAAGGGTAAATGGATTTGTTGCTTCTTGCCCCACAAAGGATTCTTCAGTCTCGTCCCAGGACTCCTCTCAGCAAGCGTTGCTGTGGTTCCACAGGGAAGCATCAGTTGCATTTGTGACCACCAGCAGTGGCTGCACAAGATGGGGCAGAGGATTCCTTCCCTTAGGGCTCCTGGAGCAGGTTGCTAATCCTCTGCTCTGCAGGTCTCTGCTGCATTCCCTGAGAACTGATACTGAAGAACTAGAAACAAGCAGCAGCACTCAAGTTTTTTTTTCACCATAGACAAGGCTGCTCATAGCAAAATCCTGGTTTCCAAGGACCAAAGGAGATAACAGACAATCACACACAGAGACCTCTGTAGAAAAGCTCCTTAGACCAGCTGAGGACTCCTGGCCTCTGGACCCAGACAGTACAGCTCATGCAAAACTTCCCTTCACCATTCAACACCTCAGTTACGAGACTGTGCTGTCCTCTGAGGAGTTTCCATGCTCTCTCCTGTCTCTGCTGTTCTCATTCTGCAGAGACATCATCATCCCTGCTCCTCCTCCTTCATACAGCAGGCAAGGAACATCCCCCAGTATGTCTGACTGATGCCTACAAGTCCAACTCCATTACTACACACCACATATTTTATTTCTAATTAGGAACTTCCAACACATTAAGAAGCTTTCTTGTGAACTGAAGGGGCTCACCTACTTACTTCCCTGACCTCATCTCAGGCTACAGACAGTGCCTCCTGTCTCTGCTACCCAACTGTGACAAGTACCTGAGCTGTTCCTACATGCCCTTCTCTACTGGAGGGCCAACCCTCTCCTACAGTTCTCAATGTCAAGGCCCAGCTCAATTTTTATCAGTTTCACACTCCTTTCCAAGAAGCTGTGACAAAGATTTGCCATCTTTCTGCAGTGCTGTCCAGGGCATTATCCTACAGGACATACTCAAACTCACCTGATCCAGTAGTGAAGGAAGAGCCACCAAACGCATCTGCCTGGGTTGTGGAGGAAGCTGGCTGGAAACCTGGAATCAAATTCTCTGTGGAACTGCCCATCTTTTCTGGAGCTTTCCCTGAAATGCCAGATACAGATTTAGGGGAAAAACTTCCATCCTGAAGGCAGGCCACTTACCTAGATTTTCTAGGACACCATGTCACTCTAAACTTCCCTTTATCTGCACGTTAGGATTTACAGGAAGGTGTTTTACTGGAGCTTCTGCAACTAACTGATCCAAGCCCACTTTAAAAGCAGTTATTACCTTGGAGAATCTTGCTGATTTGATTTCAATTGCTCAGCAAAGAGGACAGAGACCAAGAAGGGAAGTCAGAAAAATTTAGCTCTTACAGGACCACAATAACACAGGAGCACCCCAGCAGCATCTGACTGAGAGCACCATCATTCCATGCTAACTTCTGCTCTGAGAGCAGGCTGGCTTAAACCCACCCCGTGAACCTACCGTCACCCAGCTTTGCAAAGTCCTTGTTGAGCAGCTCCTCAGCTGTCAGTTTGGAGAAGTTATCATCATCAAATGGATTCCACGTTGAGACATCGGGCGGGTTATAGACATTCTGCTGGGAGGTCCTTGGGGAACCCGAGGGTGTGGTGGAAGCAGATCTGGATGTGATCATCCCAACCAAACAGTTGTTAATAACCCACCTGAAATCCTCCAGCCAGCCCTAGGAGCTGGTCTAAGACACTGCATTTTAATTACTTCCTGCTTAAAACAGCACAAGTTACTGCACATGCATGACCAGAAAGCTGGGACCAGTTCACCTGACCTGCTCATAATCTGGTTGATTATGTGTCAGGGATTAAAGCAAGCACCATAAGCAACTTCTTTGAAACCATTTTCTGCAATGCCCCCCTGGAGGCTCCCTGTCTGCAGACACTGCAAGGTGAGCTGGCAAACACCCCTGGGGAAGGGCTGGTGCTAAGTGGCAAGTGCAAAGCATGCTTGTGGAAATGACACTAGCTTTGCAATCCAGAGGAAGGCCCTCTCTGCTTGGTTTTTGGGGAGCAAGCAAACACTCAGGAGGATTTCTGCCCTGGAGAAGCAGCCCAGCAACTTCCTGCCAGACCCTAAATTGTGGTCTCAGGAAGGCACAAACTCATTTAGACCTCTGCTTGCTGCCCGCCTCCACCTCAGAGCTTTGCCTAGGAAAGCCCTGCAGAGCCTCAGCCACCCCCTCCCTCCATGCCCTCTGACACCAAGGGAACAGCCACCTACTTGGACTTGTTGAGGCTGGCTTCAGCAGCAGCTGCCTGCAGGAGCTGGGTGGACTTGCTGGCTGGAACCCCAAAGACGGCGCTGTGGGTGACGTCGCTGAGGATCCGCCTGTGCCCGGCACGCTGGGCCTTGGGGGAGGAGGGAGGGGTGAGAGAGCCCAGCTTCTGCCCCTGCACTGCTGGGGAGGCCGTGGCCTGAGCTTTTTGCTGTTGCCTCATTTGTGCCTGCATCCAGGAGAGAAAGTAAAATGTTATGTCCTTGATTGTGAACAACAGGATGAAAAAAACCAGCTATACAGTGCAGGGTCTGACCTTCAAGACATGGACTGTGGAGAGTCTGGAGGGGAAAAAAACAACCAAACAGAAGAATTGGGAGCCAGGCAGAATTCACTGATCTACAGTATTTCAGGACTACCAGAACTGCACAAGCAGAGACTTTCTCCCCTTTCCATGGTACAGCTCTGGAGTCAAAGCCTCTCCAAGTGCTTGCCTTTAGAGGCCAGCTGGTCTCAGAAGTCTCCTCATAGGTAAAGAGCCTGAGATCCAGGACAGAAGTTAAAAAAAAAAAAGAAATCAGGTCATAGTGCACAGAGGTCTTGTCACAGGGACACAGGGAGTGAGGGTACAGTGAAGAGCAGCACTTCTTCCAGCAAGCACTGTGTGACTGGGGTAAACCTCTAAAGGAGTACAGGCCTTCTGCAGAAAGCTTGTGCAAGCAGCTCTCTTAGCTTCCTCTTAGGGAAAAAAAAAAAAAAGGGCAAGGACTAAAGGAGCAACACTTGTCATTAGGAGGAGAAAAACAGGCATGCTTGGTTTAGGTGTAAGCCAAGGTAGCCCAGCTCCAAACCCTTGGGGAACTTCAAGGAGTTCCTTCAAACTGATCTTATCTTTCCATTACCTCAGACTTGTGTTAAACTCACAACAACAGTGCTTGAAATACTGTTTTGTACTGATTAACAACAGCATCACTTCCAACTGTGTGCTTCTTCCAACATCAGACTGTCAGTGAGACATCATGGTCTGACTTAAAGCAGGAAAAAAGAGTGCAGAGAGCAGAAAGCTGCACATGGCACCAGCTCCCTGTTCCCCTTCCTGCATGATACCAGGCCAACCAAGGTGGACAGATGAGAGACTTGGAAAGACCCAAGAGGGCACTAAGAAAGTCACATCCCCAGTGTGGTACTGAACTACAGCAGGAAAAGGCAAACAAGTACTCAGCTGTCCTGCTTTTCATCTGGCATTTTCAGGCAGACTAATGCACTGCATCCAAGAAGCAAACTGACCTGACTGCTGGTGCACTCACCTTACTGCTCACTACATAGGTCACTGCAGAGCAGGACATTTAGTGCTCAGGAATAAAAGGGCAGTGCCAAAATCATCACAGAAATGAATGCAGAGCTTATTAAGCTGAAGTCTTGCAACGTGAAGAGGTTTTGACAGGTCCTGACTCAGTGTCTTCTGCTCAGAGACTCTGCTCTGCAGACTGTGTCTCACTATCATAGTTTAAATGAGCCAACCACTGCTCTTCCTTTTCCAGCTGCTGTAGGAGTGGAAAAGGATCCAGATACATCACTTCTGATCAGCCCTCCAGGGGAATAAGGCTAATGGTCAATGTGGCTGATTTGATAAAAATGAGGACTGCTTTTCTGCTAGTGAATCACAGCACAGCTCTTTAGAAATGCACTTCCACGTGCCACCTCAGGCATGTCTCCTCTAAAAGGAGCAGGGCAACAGGAGGCATTACCCAAAACTTGTCTGTGTGCACTGAAAACCTCCCACTGATTTCAGCAAACTGACTTGCCCCATGTCACTCAGCAACACAATAACACCACCAGGAACACAACAGCTCCAAGCCTGCCACCTGCCCTAACCCCCAGCTTCGTGCTGGAAATGAACAGGAAAGCAACAGGGGTGAGTGTGGCAGAGCCCTGGGGGACACCAGAGAGAAAACCAAACAGTGCCCTCCAGCACTGCTCAGGTCACTGCCTGGTGGAGTTTGTTAGCCAGATTAATTCCTGATGTCACCTCAAAGGAAGCATGCTCAAGAGATTAATTAGATCCTGAATGACTGGCAACTCAGGAACAAGCAAGCACAAGATGACCCTTGGTTGGGAGTTGAACAGTGTGTACCTGGAGTGGTTTCTTATCACACTGTTTGCTTTGCACACACACAGCCTGGCACAGCTGAAGAACCAGCAGCAGCCTCTTGCCTGGTGCCTGCACACGCTTTCTTCCCAAGACTAGAGCAAGGGACATCCTTCTGTGCTCCCAAAACCAAGCAGGAGTGGACAGGACTGCACAGGACTGAGGGCAGAAGGCCCAGCACCCTGCCAGTCATCCTGCAGAGATGCTGTGACAGGGCCCTGCCCCTGCCCTGCAGAGCTGACCCTGGCCCTGCTGCAGGCAGCCACTCCTCCACTAAGGGCACAGCACTTCTCTTGGACACACATTCAGATGATTAGTAATGGGGATGATTTATTGATTTAGTTTTAGATATGGTACATTGAAAAGTCACTTTTCCATAGAATTTGTTAAAGAAAAAACACACCCCAGTGCCAGAAAGAGCCAGGACAGCTGCTTGCACCTTCCTCTGCACCAGAGCCCTGAGCATGAGAGGGCAGCTCTCAACACAAGCAGCACCATGAAGTGGCTCTGTTGCCTGGTGCCATCCTCACACGTTAAGTACAAACCAGTTTTAGAAGAGTTTATCACACCTAAGGCAACATGACAGGGGAGGGCTAGACAGAAGCTGCCTTAGAGCAGCTACTTCTATCTTCTCATCACTTTCTATGGATCCAGAGCACAACTCCAAAGCCCAGCATCCCATTGGAAAGAGCAGTCCACACAACTGCATGTCTCTGAGGCAGCAAGGACATCTGCAACTCAGAATAACAGACTGGGTCCAGCAGGCCCTGGAGCACCACTTACCTGGGCTCTGGGGGCCCCAAAATCCAGCTGCCCTGCTGGGCTGTTCCCAGCACGCAGGGCCTGGCAGGAGAGCACGTGCCAGCACCAGAGACCCTGCTGCCCCAGCTCCTGCCCCAGGCTCTTACCCCTTGCTCCTGGGGCTGTGCTGCCGGGGCTGTGCTCGGCTGGGGGGGCTGTGCTGGGGCTGAGCCTTGCTGCTTCTGCTGGGCTGCTGCTGCTGTCTTCTGCTGCAGGGCTGCCTGCTGGGCCAGTATCTGCTGCTGCTGGTAGTAGTTCTGCATCAGCTGCTGCTGGGCTGGCGCTCCTTGCTGCATCACTGGGAACTGGGAAACAAGCAGCTGCTGAGGGGAGTGCTGCAGTATCCCCACACAACTTGGGGCCAGGTACAGGAAAACCCACAGCCACTGTGGTGGCAAAGCTGCCCCAGGCTATGATGGCTTGGAGGCCACCTGCAGAGCAGCACTGGAGAACACCCTCCTGGGCCAGGGTCAGACCCTTCCCGTGCCACACCTGCCCATACAGCACTCCCACAGCACAGACTGTCCCCTGGCCCTGAAGCCTTTCCTTCGTTTTTGTCAGTTCTAAACCTTTCCCCAGGATAGGATTTGCTGCCCCTTTGCTTCCACTGTTAAATATGCTTAGCAGAGATCTGTGCTGCTATAAACTCCTCAGATAACACACAACTCTGTCATCTAGACACATCCCCACGGGCCTCCTCATCACCATGCTCCACCACACCACCACCAGACCTGAACCCTACCACTGACAAGGCATGGCAGCCTCTTGTACTACAAAGAGTACAGATGAGAAACTGCCCATCAGTCAAGCACTGACCTCAAGAACCTGAAACACCTGGAGCTCTGAAACCTTCATCAGCCCTGCTTATTTTATATCTATACATCACAAAATTATCCCCAGGCTTTTCATATGGACAGTTAAAAGTGCCAGCCTTGAGTAGTAAAAATCTTGACAGACAACTGGACACATTTAGGAAATGCCTAAAAACTGTGCCTACCCCACCAAAACCCAGGGAATTTCCCATAAATGCAAAGATAGAATCATACAATTGTTTTGATTGGAAGAGACCTTTAAGATCTTCAAGTCCAACCATCCCCCCAGCACTGC